TTTGTGAGTACTGATATATTAGAAATTGAAGGTAGCAAGAAATTAGGTAGAAGAAGAAATAAGCTACCCTTGACAACAAATTAAATCAAGTGAATAAATATCTACAGCTATGGGTAGAATAATTTGCTAGGGGTGTGAGAGTGGTGGGAAGGCCAAAAGGCAGAAAGAAGTCACAGTTGTCTCCTTCAGGAAGTTTAAATCCAGAGAGCAGATTAGGAGTAAATACTTTAAAATTTAAAAAGCCAAAGCACGTACAAATAGCCATTCAAGTAGACAGTTAAAAAGTTGTTTCTCGCATCGTCTCTAGTTAATTGCTAAATGAAATGTCATGAAAGTATGATGAGAGTTTGGAAGAAGGAAAGACACGAGTGGATTTTGAGTCTGAGGACGTGGATGTTGAGGTCAGGTAGAACCCAGGTGAGCAGAACTGAAATGGTTTTTCCAGGAATAAGACACTAGCCTGGAGAGGGTGAAGACTCAGAAATTCAAACTATTTTGTGGAGCAAAAACAGAAAATTGAGTGTGTCGCATGTGGAGGGTTTGGGAAAGGAATTTGCTTTAATAAATGAGGTTGGGGGGCAGGCATGAGATTTGGGCCAATGCCTAAAATCTTGGAAATTTAATCCTGGGCAAGAATGGTCATCTTTCCGGGCCTAGGCTTGTCATCCCCACCCATCATCCCAAAACTCTGTTGGTTGTCAGTATGATGACTGGGGGGAAAGGACAGGAGCAAAAGTTGCTGATCCCAGGTTCATCAAGCTGAGGAGAAATTTTGGTGGGAGGAAGCCAGGAAAATGTGACAGCGTTTGACAGATGCTCAGCTGGGCTTTCCCCAGGCATTGTGTTCTGGCAGCGTGTTGATTAATTCCATCCACCTCAACGCAGGAAATCAGCTTGCCTGCTGAGTAAGAGAAGTCTGCACGGAACCCCGAGGAGTTACTGCCAGCCTGAGGTTGCAAAGACAGGCCACGCCCACGGAGGCTGCCACCAAATGTTGACAAAGAACAGCCTCAGTTTCCCATTATTCTCTTCATCCCCAAGCTTGCCAAAGAACCTTCCAAAGTAGGAAGATAGGTATGGTTCTTAGCTATCAGGGAGTGAAGCTCTGAGATTTAAGACTTCTGTTTTTTTGTTTTGTTTTGTTTTGTTTTTAATCTCAATAGCCTTTCAAGGATACTTGAGTCTTAATTTCTGTTTCAGAAAATGTAATGTGTTCCATGAACCTCACTACAATTTTATGGGAAGTTCAGCACCTTCCCTAATGTTCCCTAACGAGGTGCATCCGAGACTTTCATGTGATATGAACCATTTAGGCATCTTGTGAAAATGCAGCCTGATTGAGTAGGTGTGGGATTGGGGCAGGAAAATCTCCAATTTTAACAAGCCCCCAGGTGCTAACAAGCTAGATGCTGCTGTTCCCAGTACCAAACTTTGAGCAGTAAGATTCTCCTAGATTGCAGGACTGAGGGGTAAGAAAGAGCCAACTTTCTCACTCCAAATCTTGCCCTATCCTTATGTGCTGCCTCCCCTCCTGAAGCTGTTGTCCTCTGTCTCTCTCTCTCTCTATATATATACACATGTAGATGTCATAAACCTGTTTCATATATAAAGAGGTTTACCTTAGACATGGAAATAATGAAAGAGACTTAAAGAATTAATTAAAGAATTAAAGCACAACATACATATTGAAACAATTTCAGTATAAGGCTCATGACTCTTAGTTCCCTGGTCATCTCAGCTACTAGGAGTTTCTGGGTGGCAGCTCTCCTCATTTCTCTTCTCTCTAGGGTTAACTAAAATTCCTATTATTATAATTATTTTGAAGACAAGATCTTGCTCTGTCACCCAGACTGGAGAGCAGTAGCAGGATCATGGCTCACTGAAGCCCTGATTGCCTAGGCTGAAGTGATTCTCCCACGTCAGCCCCTCAAGTAGCTGGGACTACAGGAGCACGCCACCATGCCCAGCGTTTTATTTTTTATTTTTATTTTTGAGACGGAGTTTCGCTCTGTCGCCCAGCCTGGAGTGCAGTGGCATGATCTCGGCTCACTGCAAGCTTTGCCTCCCAGGTTCATGCCATTCTCCAGCCTCAGACTCCTGAGTAGCTGGGACTACCATCCACCACCACGCCCGGCTAATTTTTTGTATTTTTAGTGGAGATGGGATTTCACCGTGTTAGCCAGGATGGTCTCCATCTCCTGACCTCGTGATCCGCCCGCCTCAGCCTCCCAAAGTGCTGGGATTACAGTCGTAGGCCACCACGCCTGGCAATACCCAGCATTTTTTTTTTTTTAATTTTGTGTAGAGATGGAGGCCTCCCTGTGTTGCCCAGGCTGGTCTTGAACTCCTGGCCTCAAGTGATCCTCTCACGTCAGCTTCCCAAAGTGCTGGGATTATAGACATGAGCCACCGTGCCTGACCATATTATTTTTTATGTGTAGCAATTTCCCTGTCTTTACCCTGGAATAGGCTCTGTCTTTGTACTTCCAAAAAGGTAAGTTCTCTTCAAGACAAAAGTGCCATCTGGTCTGACATAAAATTTGCCACTCTCTTGGAAGGAGAAAACTGTTATGGCAATTTTTTTTTTTTTTGGTAGCACTTTTTTCTTCCTCTTACCCAGCACAGAGAGTGGTACAGAGTGAGTGTTTAATAAATGATGTTTCTGCTAACAAGTAGATAAAACTTGAATGCAAAAGCCTTCACAGGTCCACAGAATAGATTCAGAATTGAGAGGTCCCTCATGCGATCTGAAACTTTGTCCAGCCACTTAAACTGTATTCCGCCCAGGATCCTCACACAGCACTCTGGCGAAACTCCTTTCCTAAGTCTTTTTTTTTCCTTACTTTTCTTTTCTCAACTTTTGCCTCTGATCCCCTTCTCTCACTGCCGTCTCTCCCAGCTCTTTTTTCATCAGAAGATCAGAAATTGCATGCTTTGAGAAAGAGAACGAATGAGAGAAACCTACAGAGACAGAAGGGAAAGGAGGACTTCTGTTTTTTTTTTTTTTTTAATCTTTTGTTTACTTAAGCCCCAAGTAATTTCTACTCTCACAAATATTGGCATATGAAGACCCTAGTACAGTGTTTTCATCTGACAAATAATCATTACTTTTTTTTTGAGATAGGATCTTGCTCTGTTGCCCAGGCTGGAGTGCAGTGGCATGATCACAGGTCACTGGAGCCTGGAGCCTTGATCTAGCTAAAGTGATCCCCTCATCTCAACCTCATGAGTAGTTGGGACTGTAGGTGTGTACCACCATGCCTGGCTAATTTTTGTATTTTTTTTGTAGAAACGAAGTCTCACCATGTTGCCCAGGCTGGTCTCCAACTCCTGAGGTCAGGCTATCTACCCACCTCGGCCTTCCAAAGTGTTGGGATTACGGGCATGAGCCACGATACTCATACCTAATCATTATCTTTAAAAAGAAGAGTTAGTTTCTATGAATTGTGATTTTGTGGAGATTCTAGAAAGTGCATAATGGTTTTGAATATTTGACTCAAACAAATAGGAAACATTGAATGAGTAGGTTCAAAAAAGTCTGAAACTGAAAATCTTTTGCATTAAAAGGGAAAAAAAAAAAAAACAAACCAAGGATGATGTGGAGTTTGTGGGGTCTGTAGTTTTCTGCTTTCTGGGAGAGGCTCACTTCCCTTTTACTCTGTGGTCCCTGGTTCCACTTCTTGGAAGGTTTAAAAAAATATCTTTTTTCTCCTTGTAACCTCTTTGGTCACATCTGACATGGTGTTGGTGAATTTACCTTTCTTAGAGCTTTAGTTCTTGTTCCTTGATGGTTGGGGGACTGAGGATTGGTTCCTGATTAATTTCTAGAACTCTCTCAAAAACTTAGTGAACTTTTAATCTGAGTCAATTCTTTTTGAGGCATAATTCCTAGAACATTTCTATTTCTTTGTTTCTTTATTCCTATAACTCTCTTTTGATTTGATGGCAGATTACTAGAACTATAACACTTTTAATTGAGTCCTTTTATCCAATTAAAAATTTTTTCCAGATGCTTCATTCTAATTCTTGCCCTTTGGTAATTTACTTGGTTGAAAGCTTTTATTGTGCATTTCTCTTTCAAAGGCTTTTTCAATCTTATCTTTTACTCTTGAGGGATAGAAATAGTTATTTTTATTTTTTAATGTTTTTGCAACCTTACAGGGCTCTGAATTTCTTTCTTTCTTTTCTTTTCTTTTTTTTTTTTTTGAGACAGGGTCTTGCTGTGTCACCTAGGCTAGAATGCAGTGCTGTGATCTCAGTTCACTGCAACCTTTGTCTCCAGGCTAAAGCGATTCTCCTGCTTCAGCCTCCATAGTAGCTGGGGTTACAGGTACCCACTGCCACGCCTGGCTAATTAGGGTTCTGAATTTCTGGACTCTCTTCATTGCCTTTCATTTTTGTTTATCAACCTGCCAACTCTTTCCTGAACTCATCTCTTTCATGTGTTACCTTGCCAAATGCAGACAATAGTATCCAAACACATGCAACTAACATTCTATTTTCTAATCTCTTTTTCTAGAGCTTCAAGTTTATTAGGTACAAGATCTGCCTCTCAAGTTATTGCAGGTAATGGTTTAACTAAATGCTTTGTCATTGTAGAGCATGGATTATCATTTATCCAGCCTGCAATTTTATTGCCATTATGATGTGCCACCTGACCACTTTTTTTCATGCTTTTTGTTATGATAGCACTTTACTTCAAGGCATGAATTTCTGTAACTGCAGACATACTGTCATGTTGCAGTAGCATATCTTGAGTAGATGCACTTTTTTTTCTTTTTTCTTTTTGAGAGAGGGTCTCACTCTGTAACCCAGGCTGGAGTACAGTGGCACAATCTCTTCTCACTGCAGCCTCAACCTCCCGAGTAGCTGGGCTCAAGTGATCCTCTGAACTGAGCCTCCAAGTAGCTGGGACTACAGGTGTGTACCACTACACCTGGCCTCAAGTGATCTGCCCACCTTGGCCTCCCAAAATGTTGGGATTATAGGCGTGAGCCACCACACTTGGCTAGATACACCTTTTTAAAATGAGAATAAAACCTTTTAAAAGTTGGATTTGTAAAACCAAATGTGTACATTTATATTATCATTATTCCCAGCTATCTCATGTTATTATCTGATTGGTTACATGAGCATGTTCACTTTTTTCCATGACTATTTTAAGCCCATTAAGGCAGAGACTTTAATAGTATAGTCTATTACCTGTAATAGTAGCCCCAACAAAATGTATCATGGCTCCAAGCACACATAAGGGCATGAAAACATCTTGCTGATTTGGATGTTTGACAAACTATAATATTTTACTACATTTGAGGCTGTGTATAACTTATTGCTAAGGCAACAGAGTCTTCTGGTGTCTTTTTTTGTGGGCTCTTGGAGTTGACTGTAGTAGTCTAGCTGTCAGTGTGTTGAATAATGGCTCCAATGCACTTTTGAAACTCTTAAATCTGGTGACAGCTTAGATCATGAGTGGTACAGAGCCAGTCAGTGAAGGGTTCCACCATTGTCAGCTGTGTTCCCATCATATGTTCGTTATCGTGTCCCTGGTATTAGCACACGATTTGTGTTATAGGAAGTGCTCAATGAATGTTTGATGAGATAAGGATCTGAATCTGTTGATTCAGTTTGAACTCAGTGATAGCCAGTTACTAGTTTGGCATCCTGATAGGACAGTTGTTTTTACCCCAAAGGGGAAAACTGTGACCAAATTTAGCAAAGGTCAGTGTTGCCTCCTACTTACGTAAAGAACCATTTTGTTCTCCCCTGCAATCTAGCAAATCCTCTTGTATTGAATTAGGTACTCTTGGTTCCAACTGATTTATTCATTCTTTCTTTCAAGAGAGCTGGTATATTCTATGCATTGAGGTATGGCTCTGAATGGAAAAGAGATCACTGAAGAAGATGAGTGACTCGATCCATTCAATTTAGTACACATTTAAAGGCCTATTGCACATGTTGCTTTGGGAGCATAAGGGATACAAGCAAAGATGAAAACATGGCTCTTGATTTCATGGAGCTAGCTTCACTGTGCACATGGAAGGTCACTCCCGGGGAGGCCTAGAAAATTCTCCATAAGTTGGGCTTAGGGGCTTCAGTCTGGCTAGGAGTTGGCTAGGGGACTTGAGTCTATCTTTGCATAGAATACACTGTTTAATCTAGATTGTATATTTAAGGATGTATATTTGGAGAAGGAGGCTGGTAGAGATTATTGGGAAGCAGGGTAAAGTTACCCAGATATATGAAGACCCCAGGGAACTATCCTAAAACATGTATGTGAGGGCAGGATACACCAAGTATCGGCACAAGAGGTTGAAGAAAGGAACATTGCCTGAAAGGGTGATTTGAAGAATTCTTTTTGTAGAAGTTACACTTCTGGTTGTTCCAGAGAGAGGTGCAGAGGACTGCACAGGCATGGAGGGGAGCAGGGTGGATGGAAGGCCTGTGATCACAGAATTTTGATCAGTTTTGGAGGGCCCTCCAATGAACCTAAGAACAACTTTCTCTTCATTTTCTTCAGGTGAAGAGTTGTTCAAACATGTTACGCTAGAGAAAAATAACTTTGCCCTGCTAGAATGTGTCCTGCCTTGTGAAAAGATTATGTGTAATTTTACCCGATCTTAATGGACGTAAAAAAAGATAAGTTACTGTTTTTTGGGGAATGTCTGTGTATCTCTAGGGCACAATGTCTGACATATAGAATGTGTTTAACAAATGTTTGACAACCTGAACTGATCTGAGACAAATTAACTTTTTGCAGGTCATTTAAGTTTCATGTCAGAGCATTTAAAGGCTTCTTTTTTTCCTTCAAAAATTAGAAACAACATTTATTGTTTCTTGTTAAAATGTGGTGCTCTCATGAGAAAAGAGTGTGCAAAAAGAGCCTTCCTTCACCCTGGGTTTTCTCACTTATCCCAGCAGGCTGGGACTGTCCTCACTGTGTAGGAGGGAAAGTTTTTCACCTGCTCCTGGGAAATTAGGCTACTCTACTGTAGTTTTACTTTTGATTACTTGCATATGTAAAAAAAAAAAAAAAAAAAAAAAAAAAAAAACAAAAGGCAAAATCCAACAGCTAATGGGTTATCTCTCCCTAGGCATATAAGCCCAGTCCACTTGGATACAGATGTGGGGCTCAAGTCCAAATTCCCATGTGCAGCCCAGGATTAGGTGGTACTTTGGAAATCAAGTGGGTGTTCCTGGCTAGGGATTGAAGACGATCTCAGCCCCTGGTCAGCTGGTTGAAAACATCCAAAGTGCCTCCAGTGAGAAGCTGAGATTACCTCTTTAATGAGAAACACTTTGGGTGAGGTAGGGCCCACCGTCAACTGGTAGGCAGCATTCTTGCCACAGGTAGTATCTGGTCTAGAAACTACTAGATCTCCAAATCCTCTTAAGGTCCCTTACATTGACAAGAATGAATTCAAGTTTCGAAATGACACACCAAGTTATATAAGGTAGAGGATGTCATTAAGGCAATAGTCTCACCAAGTCCATGCACAGAGCTCTGATCCTACCGTCACCCTCCCCTCACTCTCCAAGTCTGCTTAGTTCTGCCCACTACTCTTCCTTCTCAGTGACAGTTCCAGCATCCAGAAGTCTTGAGCAGCCTTCAGCCTTACAAGTTGGGGGTGGCCTAATTCAGAAACTTCAGGGCAACTTCAAGGCCAAGGAAACAGGCCACATTGGTTGGGAAGGCTTGGTTCATCACTGCATCAGACCCTTTAGACAAGGATGTGATTCCTTCATCCCAGATGAGCTCCCTCAGCACATCTCCAAAACCATTAGGATATTTCCCAGGAGGTGCAGTCTGGAAGTGAGACTTGAGCACATCTTGGGGGATTGCCACAGCCCAGTTGAAGATCCCTTCCATGCAATGCCCCCAGCCACCAGGATTCAAGGCGCACTGAGCTCACGGACCCTCTTTCCTTCAGGAGTGAAGATATTTTTTAGCCATTTATATGTTATGAATTACATTCCACTAGCTGGAACATCTCACATAAGGGTAAGCATGGTCTCTTTGTAGATGCCTCGGATCCCAAACTCCTGGTACAGCTTCTTTGCACAGTCCAAGGTTCCAATGTACTTGGTTTCCCCTGAAGAAGCCTGAAACCGTAACCAGCACTTGATGGGTGCTCCAGGGGTCACGATGCCTGTGGTGAATGTACCAGATAACATACCAGCTGCAAACAGCTGGGGATAGCTGAGCACATCCTCTGGGTGTTTCTGTCATAGTTTCTTCCTTTAACCAAACCCAAAGAAGCACACAGCAAACATGGGGGTGACACCGATGATAGGGGCAGCCATTCACTGATATAGCCCCGTGATGCCCCTTCTAAGAGTCTTTGGGAGACAGTCCAAGGTCCCAGAGTACATGGGAGGCTGTCTAGGCAAACTCGGTAGCTGTCTGCAGTCGGACCTTGACGGTGTCCAGAGGGTGCCCCATGAACAGCAGGCACATGCCACCAAAGCTGCTGGCCAGCAGGTTCTTGAGCAGGCTGATGGGCTTCGGCTGATCAGCCATGGTCAGTCTGCCTATCTCTGAGTCTGTCAGTTCCTGGGCCGTCCTGGCTCTGCTGCCCCAGCTGCAGCGCCAGGGCCGCCAGTCTTGCATTTAAAGGCTTCTGCTTGCTAATTCATTTTGGTTAAAAAAAAAAATCATTCTCAGAGATAGCCAAGGTAATGGGCATTTATGTGTTGTATAAATGTGATATTATATATATGTATATATTTGTCCATGGCTCCTGGTTCATAACTCCCACAGCCCTCATTATATCCCAAGTGATAAAAATGATAAGCATATCTTTCATTGGGGTATTTAGCTTTTTTGTCTTTGGTTACTGAAGCAGCTTCAGACAACTTCAGAGCAATAAAGGTGAAAAAGACAGTCTTTTATTGTAATGTTGGAGCACTTTAGGCCTAAGAAATAGGTCTCAGAAAAAAGAATCTCCCTCTCTGAACTTTTGCCCACCTTTTTTCCCCAAGACAATAGAAACGGAAAATATCTCCTCATCTAACATCACTCCCACACCTTTTGTCTTGGGGCTGGTCATAAAGAAATTCTTTGACTTACCTTGTCTAATCATAGGCCATAAGACCCTCAATTCAGGAAGGGTCCTCCCCTCTACCCAGGAGGAAGGAATGCTGTTCAGAGAGGCCAAGAAGAATCTGAACAGACAGGCCTGGCTGGGTTTCCTCATTCAACCTATTAATATCAGGTTATACCCTTTTTATCCAATCACATTTGTTTACAGTTTTCCATGTTGTAATCATGTCTGCCCAATGAAGATTCCATAAAAGGCCCAAGAAGATGGGATACAAAGAGTCTTTGGACCTTTGAACTTGTGGAGGCTCTAAGAAAGGTGAACAGTAGCTTATCCCTGTGCTGGGAGGGTAGTGCACCCCAGCTCCATGGGAAGGAACACTTTCGCGCTTGCGACCCTTTCAAACCTTGCTCTATGTACCTTTTCATCTGGCTGTTGTCTTGTATCCTTAAAAATATCCTTTGGAATGTACTGGTAAATATAAATTAGTGTTCCCTAAGTTTTGTGAGCTGTTCTAACAAATTAATCAAGCCTAACCAAACTCAAGAAGTTTGTGGAACCTCAACTTGAGGCCAGTCAGTCAGAAGTCCCAGAGCCTTGGACCTGTGACTGGTGCTTAAAGTGGGAGCAGTTTTGTGGGAGCCCTCAGCCTGTGGAATCTGACTCTGCCTACCTGGAGATAACGTCATAATTGAATTGGATTAGAAGATGCTTCGCTGGCGTTGGATGCAGAATTGATTACTTGCTGGTTGATGGAGATAAATCCCCACATATATGGTCATGGAAGTCTTTTGCATTGCTGGTAGTGGTGTGAGAGCAGAGGAAAACAGTTTGTTTTTTCAACACAATGAATAATGATTATTTATTAAGCACCAGTAGGAGTCTAACCATGGGGTTAAAAAATAATTGTTCAGGGAGATAACAAAACTACCAGGGTATATCATTTCTGAATCTTTCACTGATGTTATTTCATTTCTTTAGTTTTGTTTTCCCGTTCATAAAATGGAGGTAAAGATAGTTTAGTACCAAGGCTCCTCTAAGGATGAGATTTCTCCCATTTAAATCACGATTTATATTGCATGACTAGAAAGTAGAACATATGGTCCGTGACAAGGGTGTTGGCAATTTGTGGGAGAACAAAAAAGATTTGATAACAATTTCTAACTTGGTTCATCTCTGTAGTAAATTAAAAATGTTGCTCTGATTTGTGGGCACTGGGGGTGGAAGTAGGGTAGAAGGAAAGAAAAATTTGGTCCTTTTCCTGTCATCCCTTTCTTTAGGGTCCCCTTTTGTTCCCCTTCGGGAAATGGAATAAAAAAAAAAAACCCTGCATTCGTCAGTAACTCTGGGTCAACCACAACTTAAAGACAGTAAGCAGGTCAATCAAAACAGGGGCAATGATTGCTATAAAACTAACAGGTACTCTCATTGATAGAACACAGGCATACACAGGAAGATACATTCACAGAAAGAACTTCCTGCACAAAGCAAGCCACCAGCGCAACATGACAGTGAAGACCCTGCATGGCCCAGTCATGGTGAGTAGCAACAATCATTCTGGTTTAAGGACAGTCATGCCTAGGATTTCAGGAAAACAAAGTTCTAAGGAGTTAGGTTTGATTGGGGTCTTTTTGGAATTACTTCTTTAAAAAACAGAGATGACTTTAATTTTGACTCCTGTCTGGTGGCAAAAAAGAAAAAAATAACTAGAAAAGTTATAATGGCATAAAAATGCAGCTCCTGGCCAGGCGCGGTGGCTCACGCCTATAATCCCAGCACTTTAGGAGGCCAAGGCAGGTGGATCACATGAGTTCAGAAGTTTGAGACCAGCCTGGCCAACATGGCAAAACCCGATCTCTACTAAAAATACAAAAATTAGGTCGGGCCCGGTGGCTCACGCCTGTAATCCCAGCACTTTGGGAGGCCGAGGTGGGCGGATCACTTGAGGTCAGGGGTTCAAGACCAGCCTGGCTAACTTAAAACCCTGTCTCTACTAAAAATACAAAAATTAGCTGGGTGTGGGGCAGTTGCCTATAATCCCAGCTACTTGGGAGGCTGAGGCAGGAGAATGGCTTGAACCTGGGAGGTGGAGGTTGCAGTGAGCCAAGATCACACCACTTCACTCCAGCCTGGGTGACATAGCGAGACTCTGTCTCACAGAAAAAAAAAATGCAGCTCCTCACCCAATGGTTTTTGCCCAGGTGCTGTTAGTGTGTGCAGTCCTTGGCATCACAGACAACTAGCAGGTTCTCTCCTGTGGCCATCCCTTATAGAGTTAGGTTGGCCTGAAATTCTTATCTCATGGTGGGAGCTTGGCCAGCCCTTTAGGGATTATGTACATATACATTTTAACCAAGGAAACTGAGGCCTCAAAGGGTTTAATGATTCCCGTGAGACCGCAGGAGTGCCCTGGGTAGAAGAAGTGAAATCACCCAGTGTTGACTTTGGACAGCTCCTAGAGAAGGGAAATTTCCCATGTCTCTGATTGCTATTTATTTATTTTGCACCATCTCATTCTTCTTGGAGGAAAGAGAGATGTCAATGCAATGAAAATCTAGCCCCAGCAGGTCTGGAATCTTGCCTGGCATTAGTCAGATAAGGCCTGGGAAGAATTTACTGTAGAGGCACATGAAAACAGAGGTTAGGAAATCCTGCATTTTATTATTGGCTTAGGTAATTTCCTTGTTTTCTCCTTTTACAAGTCATATAATTTAAAAGAGCTTGAATATCATAAAAGGTTCATGGCATATAGCAATGGTATGTTTTAATTTATTTTATATTTATGTGTTATTTTAAAGATTACATGTAGCACAGCAAAGTGCCATATTTAGGGGCACAGGCTCTGATGTCAGGTATATCTGGCTCCACTGCTTGCTAACTGTAGGATTTTTGGGTAAGTTATTTATCTTCTCTGTGCCTCAGTTTCCTCAACTGTACAGTGGGGATAACAATGGCATCTTTCTCATGGCATTTATTGGGAGGATTAATTAATATCTTTGAGAAAAAATGAGTCTGTACTCTGTACTGGCAGATTTGTGTATGCTTAAGTTTCAGTTAATTTGGCCATTCTAATAAACAACAACTGGTAACGATAGAGAAAGCATTCAGTAAGTGTTAACTGTTCATATTAATGTTATTATTATCCTGGAAATTCTGATCAATCCTCTGAAGTAGATGGGGATACTTTCCACTTTATACAGATGAACAAAAGCTCAATTAAGCTATTTATTTAACTTTGCTGGATACTATAAGCACAATAACTGGTACACCAATCTAAGCTTTCTGGCTCCAAGTACAGTATGCTTCTCTTTGAATGGTTCAGAGGCAAGATTTCTGAACTTAAAACCATTGCATCCAAGCAATTCTGTTGGGTAGCTTTGTGCTCTATAGCTATTTCTATTTCTAGTTTCCTTAAAGAAATCTGTTGTGTTGTCAGGAGGAAACATAACAGTGCAAGGAGCGTTGGAATAGAATTAGAAGTTGAGAGGTGCAGGCAGATAGGACATCCTCAATAAGTAGTTGAGGCAAATTCTCACGGACCTAGCGGTTGACCAGGTGCATGCTTACAGGAGAACACACATTGCTGGTGAGTATAGGGGGTGAATGTTCAGGTTGCTCAGGTGGGCTCACATTAGAGTGAAGTGCAAAGCTAGGCTGAGAAGGTTGGTGTCCTGTTTCAGCTCACCTTCACCTGGTGCTTTCCCTTGCCTCTGTCCCCTGTTCTACAGATTGAGAGCGGTATCTATTCATCTGCTTTCTAGGTGGCATATAAGAGTTCAAGTCCATACAATGCTCTGAATTTCTCTGAGAGGTGCTGTTTAAATCATTCTTAAGAACCAGCAAAAACCTGGTTCAGAGCCCCTGCTCTGTATTACATAACCACTAACATCTACAGTTTCAGATCAAAAGCTTTGTGGAGCAAATTGGAGTAATTTGCAGACATCATCTGATTTCCTGATAAAGAGCTGTGTGACCTACAACACATATGCACATCTAGTTCAGCTGTCACATCGCTTAAAATGCTTGGCTCTTCTAATGAGACAAAACTAAGATTAATATTGGTAATAATAAAAATGACCTTCAACGGCAATAGCACTGACTACTGACACCTAGGTTTGAGTCCCGAGACTGGTACTCATATGCTGGTGAACCCAACCAAGTTATTTATTCCCTTTGGGACAGAACTCTTTCACCTATCTAATTGGGATAATTAATACTAGCTCTGTCTACCTCACCAGGTAGTTGTGAAAATCCAGTAAAAGCATTTTCTAAAATACTCTATATTAGCAAATATAATAATGACTTGTTAGAAACATGGTAATTATTGCTAAATCATAGAGCTCCAATGTATGTATTTAAAAGCTTTCATAATGAAAATTAATAGTGATTCAGTGAGTATGACACAGAAGAGGAAAGAGAAAACACAAAGGAGGAATTTACTTAAGAACCCTAAAGATGTGATTGATAGGCTTGGGAAGTTATCTAAGACCCTTTAATATAAGCTGACATCTTTAAAAAAAGAAGTCATAGCAGTCCAGGCGTGGTGGCTCAGGCCTGTAATCCCAGCACTTTGGGAGGCCGAGGTGGGAAGATCACTTGAGGTCAGGAGTTCAAGACCAGCCTGGCCACATGACGAAACCCTGTCTCTACTGAAAATACAAAAAATTAGCAGGTGTGGTGGTGCACATATGTAATCCCAGCTACTTGGGAGGCTAAGGCAGGAGAATCGCTTGAATCTGGGAGGTGGAGGTTGCAGTGAGCCAAGATTGTGCCACTGTATTCCTGCCTGGGCAACAGAGTGAGACTCCATCTCACCAAAAAAAAAAAAAAAAAAAAAAAAGCCATAGCACTTTGTCAAGACAGAAGGTATATGAGCATGAATTCCACATCTATCTAGTCTACTGTGTAGCACAATATAGAGTTAGCAAGTTAGAGTCGCCAGTATTGGATACGTATCATATGCTGCCACTATTCTTCATGATTTATGTGGATCATCTAATTTAATCTTCACATATATATACATTTTTTTTTTTTTTGGAGGAAACAGAATCATAGTTGCTTAGAGTCCTGGAATTGAGTTACATACAGACCCTGGACTTCTGACTCTGAAGCCCATGCCCTGAGCTACCACACTATAAAGTCAAGAACTAGCTGTTGAATGAATGAACGATTGTGGGGGATGAAAATTGATGCTTGCTGATTACCTAAAGGCAAATTAGCCTCATTCTGACTTTTCTGGGTCAACCTTGCTTTCAACTTCTTTTTAATATCAGCTTCCTCAGTATGGCAAATGGACACTATGACCTTTTTGTTTACTCTTATTGTTTTTTTGTCTCTGGTATCTGCAAAATATGAAAAGGAGAGCCTTTGAAACCAACATGTCTAATCACGTTCCCTATCTTAACTCATGGAAGGTGTGAGCCTGAGCAACGCTAAGCCTAGGGAATAAAAGCAACTTATCTTCAGCTCTTCTTCTTCTTCTTCTTCTTCTTTTTTTTCCCAAGAAGGAGTCTCATACTGTTGCCCAGGCTGGAGTGCAGTGGCTCGATTTCTTTTCACTGCAACCTCTGCCTCCTGGGTTCAAACGATTCTCCTGCGTCAGCCTCCCGAGTAGCTGGGATTACAGGTGTGCGCCACCATGCCTGGCTAATTTTTGTATTTTTAGTAGAGACGAGGTTTCACCATGTTGGCCAGGCTGGTCTTGAACTCCCGACTTCAGGTGATCCGCCCACTTTGGCCTCCCAAAGTGCTGGGATTATAGGCGTGAGCCACCGCACCCGGCCTTCAGCTCTTCTTCTGTATTATGTTGAGAGTCGGTGATGGGCCTTGCTCATCCCCAGTAAGGGTCAGTGGCGATGGTGGGTGAGCAAAGCATGGTTGTGACAAAGGGAATGTGGCAAGATTTTTAGCTTTTCTTTTCATTAGATCTTCGGGGCACTTTCATTCTTTGTGCATTACTATAACACCAGATAAAGTGGCGTTTCAATGTAAGTATTAAAAAAACGCTCCAGAGCTAAAGAGAAATAGTTTCCATATTCTCTGTTGTTGTGCATCATTAGTGCCCTGGTTTCTTTCAATTAGCATGGATAATTGGAACTTTGCTAACGTTGGTTTTGCATAATGTTTTTCTTAATGCAGTCAGCTTAACTATATAGTTCAATTTAACTGTATCGTTTTGTTCATTCATTCACTCACTCACTCTTTCATTCATTCCGAAAGTGTTTATGGAACATGTGTAATATGCAGGAACTTACAATCCAATGGGTGTAGATCTGACAGGAACACAAATACTACATTTCCAGACAATTAAAAAATGCTACTTGAGTGCTAGATGATCAAAGCTTTATAATTTAAGGACAATAAACATACTTCTGATTGAACCATTTTAGAGACTGTTCTTAGGGAAGATCATATCTGAGCTGGGCCTTAATGGAAGGGTAGGATTTTGACAGACAGAGTATTCTAGGCAGTGTATTCTAGGTGGAGGAGTGGCTTGGAGGAAGGATTTTGTGGGAGATTCACGGGATATCAAGTTGGAAATAAAAACAAGAGCTATCGTTTATTAAGCCTCTATTTTCGTTTTACAGATTTATAGGTGTTTTATATAGAACATGCTACTTAATCTCGTTAGTAGTCTCATAAAGTGAGCATTATTATCCAGTTGGAAGGAAGAGAAACTAGAGGCTCAGCAAGGAAGCCAGGATAGCATTTTAACCCAATCTCAGACCCTGGCATCTTTCTGTCTCACTGTTTAGAAGCTCTTAGACTCTGGAGGACTTCACTTACTAGCTAGGCTAATGAATTTAGTTTTCAGTTTGGCACCTTGATACCTTTAGGTGTGAGTGTTCCCATCTCCAGGTGAGGAACTGAGGTGCAAAGAGAAGCCCTGATCCCATAAAAGGACAGGAATGCTGAGTTCCACCAGAGCATGCATCTCTTGCTAGTAGGTGAGGCGAGTCTCTAACTGATTACAGCCTCTTCTGTTTTCCAGGTCAAATACTTGCTGCTGTTGATATCGGGGCTTGCCTTTCTGAACGAGGTGGCAGCTAGGAAAATCCCCAAAGTAGGACATACTTTTTTCCAAAAGCCTGAGAGTTGCCCGCCTGTGACAGAAGGTAGTATGAAGCTTGACACTGGCATCATCAATGAAAACCAGCGTGTTTCCATGTCACGTAACATCGAGAGCCGCTCCACCTCCCCCTGGAATTACACGTAAGTGCAAATGAGACTGATCTTCACATTCTTTGGAAAAATATGTTAATTCTTTCTTATCATAAAGTAGAAAATGTAGAATACGTAGAAAACATACAAGGGAAAATCCTCTTAACAATGAAAATTTCATTTTACCTGGGAGCTCACATCTTTCTTGTTTTGGGCTAGGTTCACCTTTGTGGTTGATGGTCCTAATATTTTGCTTCCACATTCTCATAAACTCTGTACCTTTTTCTGCTTCGTGTAGCTCTAGGATAGAATTCACAAATTTTCCTGTGTTGGAAGAGAGGGTTCTTTAAAGCAGATTGCATAATTATCTCCGCATGAGGATAAATGGGAAACAGAAAAGTTGGTTTAAGGAGATTCACTCAGATTAGACATTATCCTTTAAGGAGTGGGAATGAGTGGAGGAGAAAGGCCAGTCTGGGAAATGGGATGTTAGGTGGAGACCTTCAGGGTACAGTCTTGTAATTTGGCCTTAAGATACAGGTTCTTGGAACACCAAGCACCCCCTCAAATTCTCCAAATATGAGTATAAAAATAGATTCCAGGGACAATTGAAGTGTTTCTGGGGTTGTCATGTAGCTTCTCATGTGAGTGTGTTATGAGAAAACCTTGGGACTGTAGTGCCCCCTGCCTCAAACTGGGAAGATGTGGAGAGATCAAAGAATGACTTGGACAAGTCCACCTTAGCGAGTAGATGAGTTTATTAAGGCTTACATATGGGGCGCCCTAGGGCCACAGCAGGACAGATCTAGAGATCCGCCCTGCCTCCCATCTCTAAGCTGCTTGGAAGCGAATTTTCTGGCTCTTTGCCTACTGTGTGTGTCCAATGGGACTGTTTCCCTTGGTAGGTTCTCAGATACTCTCTGAGATGTTTGAGTTCTCAGTGGCCTGCTCCTTGGCTGTACATGGTGGCCCTGGCTCACTGCCCATCCTTCATGGTTCAGACAGTGGATACACACCCTCAAGTAACTTGATGGGAGTCCTGTCACACTACAAGTGGAGTATGTACAGTAGCAAGCTGGCAGGATAAATGTTGCGGTCTTTATGCCTCCAGGCAGAGGGGCCTATTCAAGGAGAAATGGAGAGAAGGTCTGAGATTCACAGACCTCTGGGACTGTGGCTTTCTTTTCCAAGCAGCAGGCTCTGTAGTCCGACTAGTGATGGAAGACTGACTGGTGACGTTCAATCTCCAGGCAGAGAATAAAGAATATTGTAATAATAATAATGCCAATAAGAGATCTAATGTGAATTGAATGCTAACATTTGTACAGTGGGGTATTTTATATGTACTTGTATCACTGAGCATTCTCCACAGTTGCATGAGAAAATGGAATATGAAAATCCCCATCTTATAGTTGAAGAAACTGAGGCTTAGAAAGGTAAGCCACTGCCAGAGGCTGGTGTATGCTGCCAGGCTGTGTGGCTCCAGAGCCTGTGCCACAGCCCTGTGGAACTACCTCCCTGCAGGTGAGCACCCAGTGCTGTGGGGCTCTCATTCACTGTCTTCCTCCCCCATGCCTCACCATTGTGCTTTGGCTTGCTCCTCCTGCAGTGTCACTTGGGACCCCAACCGGTACCCCTCGGAAGTTGTACAGGCCCAGTGTAAGCACCTGGGCTGCATCAATGCTCAAGGAAAGGAAGACATCTCCATGAATTCCGTTCCCATCCAGCAAGAGACCCTGGTCCTCCGGAGGAAGCACCAAGGCTGCTCTGTTTCTTTCCAGTTGGAGAAGGTGCTGGTGACTGTTGGCTGCACCTGCGTCACCCCCGTCGTCCACCATGTGCAGTAAGAGTTGCACATCCACTCAGCTGAAGAAGCTGTAGAAATGTCACTCCTTACCCAGTGCTCTACAACCAGTCCTGTCTGATCCCCAATTCCCTCCATTTCACAGGACTCTTAATAAGACCTACATGGATGGAAACAGAAAATATTCACAATGTATGTGTGTATGTACTAAATTTTATATTTGATATCTAAAATGTTAGGAGAAAAATTAATATATTCAGTGCTAATGTAATAAAGTATTAATGATTGAAAAATACTTCAGGTGTTTGTTTGCTATTCCAGCTTGTACTCACAGACTGTGTAGCCCTACAGATTTTGGAATTCTATATGCCTATCATTTGTTTTTCATATTTCCTCATCAGAGCACCAGTGTTAGAGTTGTTTTGTTATTAATGGTGCCTGGAGATTGGTTACATAAAGAGTTAAGGAAAATGGTACAAACAGAACTCAGGTTCCCTAGGGACACTTTACCGCTTCGTTATCCCAACTACATTATTTTACAAAGCAAGTATTTCTTGGCCACTGTGCTAGCCAATGGAGATACAAAGAAAAGTAAGAAATGCATATGAAGGGACATGTGTTGATAGGGGCCATCCAAAGAGCCCCTGGTCATGAGGGCCATGGTGGCCACTCTGTTTCCTCCTCTGACTTCTGGGACCTTTAGGGGTCACTGGTTATCTTTTGTCCATCTCTTACACATCTTAGAGGCACACAAACTTCCAGATTCTGATCTCCATGCCACTCTGAGGAAACTGAGAGGTCTTCTGGTGCCTCTGTTGCACACCACATTTTCTCCTTTACTTCCACCATGCCACTAGCTCAGAGTACATCTGCATGGCTGCTGCCTCCCAGGTTCCAGAGAGAAAGTGGGCTATAAGTTCTCATTCCCACCTAGGATTTGGCTTGAGGATGGACAGTTGGCAGGAGCCTGGCTCCCATTTTGAACTCTTTAGTCTGTTGGTGGGTGTGGAATGGGAGTGGTTGGAGAGGCTAACTCTTTCATCTCTTTGCTCCAGAATCTTGTACTTAGGATATAAATATTGACTTTTGTACTTAAAATGTTCAAATGTTCAGGTTCTTTTTTTTTTTGAGACGGAGTCTAGCTTTGTTGCCCAGGCTGGAGTGCGGTGGCACGATCTCGGCTCACTGCAAGCTCCGCCTCCCGGGTTCATGCCATTCTCCTGCCTCAGCCTCCCGAGCAGCTGGGACTACAGGCGCCCGCCACCACGCCCAGCTAATTTTTTGTATTCTTAGTAGAGACGGGGTTTCACCGTGTTAGCCAGGATGGTCTCGATCTCCTGACCTCGTGATCCACCCATCTCGGCCTCCCAAAGTGCTAGGATTACAGGCATGAGCCACCGCGCCCGGCTTGTCAGTTTCTTAAAATGTAAAATACCTTCCTCTCATAGCTATCAGCTTCACAATTTTACTCTAAATCTCACAAGTTCATTGTGATGCTCAAATCTGTGTGAAGAAAGTTTTCTCTGTTCATTTTGGCAGTAATAGCTGTACCCTAGGCTTAGTGCATATAAAAAACCCTCTGTCTGAGTAGTGGGGGAAGTATGAAGGAAATTTCAGGGGGAAAAGAATTGCACCACTGGGTGTATCAAGATACCATCTCAGCCCAGTGTGGTGACTCATGCCTGTAATTCCAACACTCTGGGAGGCCAAGAAGGGAGGATTGCTTGAGACCAGGAGTTCAAGACCAGTCTAATCAACACAGACCCCATCTCTCCCTCTCTCCACATACACACACACACACACACACACACACACACAATTAGCCAGGCATGGTGGCGCACACCTGTAGTCCTAGCCACTTGGGAGACTGAGATGGGAGGATCGCTTGAGCTAGAAGTTGGAGGCTGCAGTGAGCTATGATATCATCATTGCACTCCAGCCTGGGTGACAGTAAGACTTTGCCTCAAAAAAACCAAAAAACAAAAAACATTATATCATATTTCATTACACATGTACCCATGTACCTTCAAGGCAGTGTGCCAAATACTATAATCAAGGTATGAAATGGTAGGAAAATATAGGAAATTCCTGGAAAGTTTCAGACACAAGATGACTTTTGCACTGAGATGAATATGAATCGGTTTGGAGGAAGATGTGGGAAAGGCATTCCAAGCAAATGTAACAGCATGAGCAAAGGCAAGAGATGCAAAAAAACCTGGTATACTGGGGGACTGAAAGTAGTTCTATGTGCTCGGGATACTGTGGGCATGGGGACATGGTGGGGAACACACAACAAATGTTTCTTTAATGAATAAATGAATGAATTCACTTGGTAGTAGACAACGAACAGTGGGCAAATGGGCCACTCATGGATGGTTTTGTAAGCTCTGTTTCAGGAACGACAGGAGGATAGCTATATTTCACAAGATAGCTTTGGTGAGAGTGTGAAAGGGATCAGAAACCTGAAGGCCAGTGAGAAGATCAGAGAGAGAGCAATTTCACTCCGACAGTACACTCACAGTTTTAGAGCTGGATGAGCCCCTATAGATCACCTGGTCAACCCTTCTCATTTGCAAATGTGGCCCACAGGAATTAGGCGACTTGCTCAAGGTCACTTGGTAGTAACAGAAACAGGTTCATTGACTCCAAGTTCATGACTTTTGATAAGAGTTTTGCAGCAATGCTGTAGTGTGTCCAATAAAGATCCATTTCAGTCATTTCTCTATGTGGCCTCAGGCTGGCCCTGAGAGAGAGTGCAGAGATACCCCCACACCGCACATCTCCAAATACATTCTATGTGGTGCTCTGAAGCCTGGGGCCTTGAGTCACAAAGCTTCCTTCTGTGGCTTCTGCACTGAGGGTTGGCTGTCCTTCAGGAAACTGCATGTCCTCTCCTGCTCACAAGGTGGCGAACTGTGTCCAGTTGTTCCCAGATTCCTCAGTATACACTGAAAGGAAAGAAATTACTGCTTTATGGGTAATTTGTTTTATTTGGTGACTGGAAGCCACTTCTGAGGCAGAGTGAGTAGGCTGTGTTCTTCTGCTCTGCGCACAGGTTTCTGGGAGTGCCTTTGTTTTTCCTGTAGGAGAAATGGCTGAAGTTGAGCAGTTTAGGTGTTCAAATACAACATTGCATCATAATGTGTGGAGAGAGAAACCTTTGTTTCCACATGGAAACTTGAAAGCGTATAGTCTTTTCTTTCCATATCCAGTTCTTTTTGATGAATGGTTGGCTAAGGGGAAAAAAACCAACATATTCTTTCTTTGTCTCTGTTTCTCTCTTCCTTTCCCATTCCCTACCTCCCCAAATTTGGATAAAAGTCACCTATATATATATCTAAAGCTCTGTGTGATAAATTTTACTTGTAATTTACAGTGAGAAAAAGAGAAAGTTGGTTTTTCTTCCCCCACTCCCTTCCATAAAAGGAGAGGTAGAGAATATGCATTTAATATGTAGACAGCTCTTGGCTTTGAATCCTGGTTCTACCATTTTCTCAGAAGGACACAATTTTGTCCTTCTGAGATTCAGCTTCTTCATATGTTAAATGCAATATAATATCTATTTTAAGAGCTCTGTGTAAAGCAATTGAAATTTAAAAAAATGTAAATTACTTAGTACAGTAACCAGGTAATGGTAGGCGTGGTAACTGGGAGTCATTATTTCAAGAGGCACAGGAGGACTTAGGTTTCCCATTTTGCTTGGCCCAAAGAAACTCAGAACCCACTTCTATGTTTAAATACCACAGTTTGCTGGCAGATTAGACATTCGTAAAAGAAAAAAAATACCACAGTTATATTGTTCCTCATGGTTTTCAAATTTGCTTTTTAAAATTTCTATACATATATTAATATAGTATAGTATATATAGTACAAGTATATATTAGTATATAGATCCTATGTTTAAATCAATTTTCCATCTGTGAAAAGTTAAGAAAGCTGTAGATTCAATTGATTAAAAAATTCCCCCTGGACCCAAATGTCTATCGTATCCCTCTCCACTGGTATAAATTGGAAGAAAAATATTTTTAGCTCAATAAGTTTTAGGAGTGATACATGTTCAGCTAGATAAGTGTGTGCTTTGAAAATTGTGACCTTTTCCTGGCTACTTGCCAGTTCAGTGGGTACTGATTTTGAGAATTTTGTTTAGTAGTGAAGAAGAACGTATTTCAAAACTAAGATAAAAAATGATCACTATTTGAGCATCAAGATGTTCTTGCCAGCAAAATGTTGATTTCTTCTCTTAAATGGTACAGACACCACGGCAATATCAGAGAGCACAGCATAATGACTAAGCGTGTGGACACTGGAGCCAGATGCCGGGTTAAAATGTCAGTTCTGGACCTTACTAACTGTACTAGTTGCTAAGGATTTGGGTCATGTTACCTAGCCTCTCTGTGTCTCTTTTTCCTCAAATGTAAAACAGAGATGATAATAGTGCCTACTTCATAAAGTTATTGAGAGGATAGAATAATAATCTGTAAGGTAATTGGAATAGTTCTTGGCATGGTAGGCATATTGTTTAGTGTATTATTAAGAAAGATAAAATCTATCTATTACTCTACCACGATAATAGATCACGTTAATATTTTTCTTTCTCTTCTGCTCATTTGCCTCACAGATATATATTTTATAAGGCTGTAACTATAACATACATGCAATTTGTATTTGATAATTTTTAACTTCACATTATACTCTATGTATTTCCAATGTTTCCATAAAGTATTCACAATGATTTTTAGTAGCTGTGTAATTCTTTCAAGTTGATGAACCAGAGTTTATTTAGTTTTTTTTTATTTTTGGAGTTTTCGCTCCAAATATAAAAGAATAACTATTAACTTAAAAAAGTTAAAAAATGCTTGTAACTGTTTTAATTACGTTTTAAAATTATGAACTATGTAATACAAACAGAAGAGTTTATGTCTTTGTATATGGATAGTTGCCTTGCATATCAAAATTCTGTGTATGTGTGTGTGTGTGTTTTCATATCTATAGCCTACCTTGGGGCAAATTAGTTAATTTCTCTGAGTCTCAGTTTCCTCAACTATAAAGTGGGGTGATAATGTCTGTCTCATAGGATTGTAAAGCAGATTAAAAGAAATAATACATGTAAAGCATTTAGGGCAGTTCCCAGTTCCAACCAACCATTTTAGTCTTAGTGGTTATGCAGAGCCTGTGGATGAATGTTTCCATCTTTAAATTCTTGTTTTCAAAGTCAAAGAAATCAATGCATTAGACAAAAATGAGTTTATGAGTTGTTCTGGGGTTGTGACTGTGAACATATTCAGAGCCTTCTGA